GACTGGTCTTTTCCCCCAGTGAGATCAGGGTCAGGAAGAAGACTGAAAAGAAAAGGCCAGAGTAAGAAGAGAAAAACTAAGAGAGTTCAGTTGTTGAGGAGAGGGGATGAGAAGGACCTTTGGAGAAAGGGTAATATGGGCCCCTAGAAATTAATGAGGAAAAGCCTTAAAAGGTAAAAAGACAAAGAAAAGTAAGTTTGAAATATCTTTATGCATTTCTTAAGTATTTAAGTTTCTTACCTTACTTGAACCTCCGCTTCCTATCTGCTTCAGTATGGAATAAATTCTTCCTTTAACTGTAATGCACTCATTTGTTGAAGAGGATGCTGAAATCTAAATAATTAAAATGTATAAATAAAAGTTCAAAGAACTAGATAAAAAAAAACTAGTCAGTATTCAAAATTCTTCCATTTTTAAATAATCTTAAGTACTTATGTATTTGTTTAAATATTTTTAAAAAGGAACTTGTTATACATGGTTTAGTCAAAGAAATAAAGCTAAATGAACCTATACAGACAAACTTACAATGTATCCCCCACTAACCTGTTTTTACTTAACATAAACATAGAAGCTTTAAAGGATGGGGGAAAAACACTTACCATACAACATATAAACTATGCTATTATTTTTTATTTTTCCTTTCTATCTTTTTTCAAAGGAGCTCTGGTGGCATAGTACCTAAGGCATTTGACTGGTAACCAGAAGGTTGGCAGTTCAAATCCACCAGCCACTTCATGGAAGGAAGACTGGGCAATCTGCTTCCACTTATTATATATACTTCTTTACTTTTATACACACATGTATACACACAATTATTCCTATGTTCTTCTCTTCTAACACTATAATATAAAGGAGGCAATGTGCTAAGAGCTCTAGAGTCAGTCAGACAAATGCAAATTTCAGTAATTCTCCTTTTTTGCTGGGTGATGTTCAATAAGTTACTCAAATTCTCTGAACCTCAGCATTTTCCTTGGCAAAACTTTCAAGTGATATCTATACAGCTCAACCCTTCTTCATTCCTCCTGTCCCTGATGTTTGATGTTCTAACAATTACAAAAGTTGGTAGTTTCCTGAATAGGCAGCTGGGCCTTTGCACATGAAGTAATCAATCCCTTGTTTAACTCAAAGATTTTGTGCATGAAGGGAAAAACAGCCAATGAGCAATGTTAAGGTATAAAAAATGTGTAGTTTGGGCAAAAACATATAAATAGCTACATTAGAAAGCATCAACTTCCAAAACAAAACACATTTTTAGGGCCTGGCTCTCTATCCACACATTGAGAAGATGGTATATAAATGATTCTCTCAGTACAACCTCTCTTAGATTTGGGGAAGAATAAAAATCGTTACTGCATCTTTGTGTTTAAAAGTGTTGAACTAAAGTGGCTTTCCCCAAAAGATTTCAGATTTTAAAAATACCATTTACGACATAAGATCATGTTCTCCCAACATCAGTTTTGAGGCATTACTATTGTTATTTTTAAAATGCCCCTCCTTTTTGTCTTAATCCTCTAGAAAACTATCTTGCAAAAGTCCCTGAAGCCCGCTTTAACTTAATGAACAGTTTGATCACTCCTGCCTATTTACCACTGCCTCTTATATAAACATTTTACCACCTTTTCCAATATACACTGTATATGGGTGGGATTGTGTCCCCTCAAAATATATGCTGTAAATCCTAACCACTACACCTGAGATTATAATCCCATTTGGGAATGGGTTTTCTTTGTTATATTAATGAGGCAGTATTAGTGTAAAGCTGTTATTGAAAAAAGACAAGGACCTTCCCTCAGAGCAAACAGAGAAAGTCCTCTCCTGGAGCTAGTGCCCTGCATCTGGACCTCTAGCCTCCTAGAAGTGAGAAAATACATTTGTTTGTTAAAGCCACCCACTTGTGATATTACTACTATATAGCAGCACTAGATACCTAAGAAACATTGTAATTATATTTTCATGTCTGTCACCTAGATAATGAAACAGGAGCCATCCATTCATTTTTAAAATCTGTTGAATGGATATATATTTAGGTTGCTTTTTCCCTTACACATCAGAAGTCTATAACCCTTTTTCCACACTGATGATGGATGCTAACAAAAAAGCTAGAAGATGCTAACAAAACAGCTTTGTAAGATACCTCTCTTTTTCTTTACTCATCAGTGTCATAATGCACAGGATGAATCAAGTATAAGAAAAAGTTTAACAAAGACCTTTGTGCATGGATAATTTTTTTTTTCCTTTTGACATATTTGCTTAATATATTAACAAATTTCAAAAATTCCTTAAATTCCTAAAAGTGAGTATAACTTAAAGTGTTACCATGTTTAAAGTTCCACCTCTGGTAGTTTTGGATTGCCAAAAGAACAGTACTACATCAAAAGACTACAAAGAATATGTATTACTTTTCCAAGAGATTGTACAGTCCTGGGTTTTAGCTTTGAAAATGTTTTGGGAAGTAAAACTAGTATTTTTAAATGATGCTTCTTTCTGTAATTATTCACAAAATGTAATAATTTTTCTCATATACTAATTATTTACATTTCTTTTTCTAAGAGCATGGTTATTTATCTTTCAGGCTATTTTTATATTTGACAAAGTTCTAGAAGTAGTATAGCTATTAAACTTGTATTTGACTTTAGCAGAATTTCTCAGTGCTTTCTTTTTCTGCATCTCTCAAATCCTATTCACCTCTCTCCATCTTCACTACCACTCTTCCAGTCTTAAGCTAGCATCCTGTTTCACCTAGACTATCCCAAGATTTCCCAACACTGTGGAATTATGAAAGGGAAAATATGAAATTTAAAATAATTGAGTAATTTTAAATAATTAAGAAAAAGAAAAATTTCTTTAGCTCAACCTTGAATATAAAAAATTAAAATAACCAACTCAGTCAAAGAATCCTGCCAAGTGGAGGACCTCTCTGTGGACCTACAGAAGCTCTGAACAGATGGAGTGCTGTGAGAGGATATTAATCTGAGCTGATGAGGAAGCAGGAACAAAAAGAGCTTCTCATGAGCTCATTCACCAAGTTGAAACAAGATCTGAACAAAACTCAATGTAACTAAGTCCTGCTTTAGAGGCTAAATGTCAGAATCCCTCTCACATAATCCTCCATTTAAGATATAATATCTTTAAACTGCAGGGCTAAGGAGACACTGTTGAGTCAGTCATGAAATACATTCTGTAAGAAAGTATTAAATTAAGTACCTGATATTTTCTATGCAAGGAACTCTAAGGCATTTGGCTGCTAACCAAAAGGCTGGGGTTCAAACCCACTACTGCTCCATGGGAGGAAGATGAGGCAATCTACTTCTGTAAAGACTGCCTTGGAAACTCAATGGGGGTCACTATGAGTAGGAATTAATTCGATGGCAGTGGGTATATTTACACTGTGAAAATTTCTAAGGGAAGAAAACAGTGTAATGTCCTTTTCCTTTGGCTGCTCACAGTTTAAAGAGTGATTTTGGCTTATTTCCAATTCAGTACAAACACGAAGTTCATTTTCTACACAAGATACCCCACAGCCTCTCTTAGTCTTTCCTCCTTATTGTGGCCAGAGTTATCTTTTCAAAATGCAAATCAAGTAATATCAATTCTTTACTCCAATCCCCTTCACAGACTCTTATCTCACTTAGGGTAAAATTGAAGGGCCGCTGAGCAGAACTGTGAAGCCTAGCTTCCCATTCCTGAACTCTAGTGATATTTCTTTAACTTCCAACAGTGGCCTCTTTTAGGCTTCTCCTAGCTCCTTTACTTGGTCATCTCTGATTCACCTTTTAAATTTCAACTCAAATAAGACCTGATACCAGTAATTACTCATAAATGTTTTTCTGTATGTACACACAGCAAAAGCAATCTACTTCCATAGTGATACTGCCTCGGAAACCCAAGGAAGAGATGCTATGAGTCAGATACAACTCAACTGGCAGTGAGTTTGGTTTGGTTTTTGGTCTTTCTTCTGTAATTTATATTGTTTCAATCCTCAAAAACAACTATCACCTCCTTTATAGTTAGTATAATCTACTGTCAACTAATTTTTATCATTTGATTGTTACAGTTAATTATTCATGGGTTTTACTGCTGTTTTATTTAAATAACAATTGCACTAATACTTATTTACTAGGCTCTGTTGTAAGAGTTACACTATACTAATTAAATCTTTACAACACTACGAGGGAAGCAGTTTTATTATCTTCATTTTAAAGACACCAAAATGAGCACAGACAGTTTAAGTAACTTACAAATGGTCACACCAGCTGGTAAGTACCGGGGCCAAGATTCATGCCCAGGAAGTCTGACTCCAATGCTCATGTAACTAAATTTAGTCACTGGTGTCAGAAGAGTGTCTACGTTAATTCTTCTCCATATGGCAATGCAATTACTCACCAACATATGATTTTTTCTTTTGGTTTAGAATAATTACTTTATAATATACTCTAGTAACATCTTGTTATAGACTGAATTAGGTCCCCCCAAAATATGTGTTAGAATATTAACTCATTTATAGACATAATCCTATTTAGAAATAGTTTTCTTTGTTATGGTAATGAGGCCCTAACAGGGTAGGGTGTGTCTTAAACCAATCACTTTCGAGATTTAAGAGAGCAGATTAGACACAGAAGCAATGAAGCATAGCTACACCACATGAGGACCACCAACAAACCAAGGAACAGAAGCTGAAAAGAGACAAAGACCTAACCTCAGAGCCCAAAGAGAAAGCTGGTGCCCTGAATTTGATCTTCGAGCCTCCCACACTATAAGAATAATTTTCTGTTCATTAAAGCCACCCTTGGAAGGAAGGCTGGCAATCTATTTCCATAGTGATACTGCCTTGGAAACCCAAGGAGGGGTCGCTATGAGTCGGGTCTGACTGGACAGCACATAACAACACAACAAAGCCACCCACTTGTAATATTTATGTTATAGCAACCCTAAGAAACTAAGACATACCTCATATTGCTATTCTGATATTTTTAAACATTTATTTTTCCCAAATACATTAAATATTTATTAGCCCGTGAAACTTACTAACCAAAATCAAAAGAGAAAACTTTTTCAACCATTCAGACTGGATCCTCAGGTTTAATTAATAGGAAAAGCTTCACTAGCTTGTTGTTCAATAACTCCAACCTCTCAGTCACAAGGCATTATATATATTATATATGATATCTTTATATGTGTGTGTGTGTGTGTGTGTGTATATCTGTAAAGATAGCAGAAAAGAATTTTTGCCTAATGGGAATAAGAATGGACAGATGGACAGATCCTTAAGACTCTTCCTGACAAATGCTGCTGTGCTGTTATGTGCCATTGAGTTGGACCTGACTCATAGTGATCCCTCCTTAGGTTTCCGAGGCAGTATCACTACGGAAATAGATTGCCCAACCTTCCTTCTGAGGAGTGCCTGGTGGGTTTGAACTACCAGCCTTCTGGTTAGCAGTCAAGTGCCTTAGGCACTATGCTAAGTAGATGCTATTAAAAAAGGAAAAAAAAAAAATCTATGAAATTAATTATACCTAAACATCATAAAACTTATCAAACCTGTAAGTTTTGAAGTGGTGTAGCTGGTATTTGCTGCTGTTGCTGCTGGAAAAAGGCAGGTTGGCTATAAGGTGTCGACAACTGACAAGCTGATAGAAACTCATTCTTTACAACTGGAGTTCTAAAACTAGGAAAGAGATTATTTTCATTTAAAACATTAAAGATTAAAAAAGAAGACACTGATTCAGATTACATGTAATTTTAAAAGGCTGAAATAAAGGCAAGAGTGTCACATCAAACAGAACCCAAGTCAATTTTCATTATATACTTAATATTTACTTATTTTAGATACATTATCATCCAAAATTTTATTTTGGAAAATTCTTTCTGAAAGTAATTTTTTGTCCCTAGACAAGAAATTGTTGTTAGTAAAATAAATGACATTTAAAATTATAGAGCTGGAGTGTTTTTCTTTTTTTTTTAAATAATCAGCAAGGCAAAAGTTAGCACATGGCTGATCACAGATTTTATGAGGGCTTTTTCACAATGATGTTCTATAACAGTCTGCTAGAAATATCTGAGAGCCAATTACATCAGAGGACTTTGGCTGTTGAACTTAAATCTGTCCAGTTCACACTCATGCTTCATCTTGTTCACAATCATATGTTCAATATAAAGAAGCTTACTCTGTATGCTTGGCACAAAGGAGCTCTGCAGATATTTGTTGAAAATATATCATCTAGTATCACAAGAAATAAATATACCACTATTTTTAACAAACATTCTTTATTCTAAGTATAATAAAATAAAATGAGATATAACCAAAATTATATTGAATAGGTAAGAGCTGGATTATATAACTTCTAAGGCAAATTCTAATTAAGATTAAAGATTATATTGTGTGAAAATGAAAAACAAAAGCTACCACTAGCATAGTGCCTAAGGCACTTGACTGCTAACCAGAAGACTGGCAGACTGGCAGTTCAAACCCACTAGCCACTCCTCGGAAGGAAGGTTGGGCAATCTACTTTCATAGTGATACTGCCTTGGAAACCCAAGGAGAGGTCGCTATGAGTAGGGTCCGACTCGACGGCAAACAACAACAACCACAGACCTAAGTTACCCTTAACTACATTGACAACAAATTGTAGGTTATGATACACCACAACACTTTATTTCTTTGAAATGTCATCCATTTGCTTTGCAGCATCCTCCTTGTGTTTTCTGTTTGTCACAGCACAGACTATCCAGTTTTGTTACTCATCTCTCATTCCTATTCATTCAAATCTTGGATCTTTGAACTTCCCCAGAACTCTTCCACAACCATCACATGCCAATAAACACCTCCTGTGCTACAAAATTTCTCCTCTCTTTATATGCTCTAAAAAAGCTAATCTTTAAAATACCTTAATTACAGAGAAGAATTCGTTTGGCAACGCATGTTTACAAAGAAGTTTGTAATGTGAAGAGCATTTATGGGTTGTTAAGTACAGATTAGGAGCTCTAGCAGTGTAATGCCTAAGGCACTTGACTGCTAACCAGAAGGCTGGCGGTTCAAACCCACCATCCACTCCTTGGAAGGAGATGGGGCAATCTACTTCAGTAGTGATACTGCCTTGGAAACCCAAGGGGGGTTCGCTATGAGTCGGGTCTGACTCGACAGCACATAACAACAGCAGATACAGTTTACAGTATGATAGGGCCTGTCTTCATGACAATCCTTATAAACATATATTACTGTAGCCACCTTCCCCTCTCTTAGTTTTACAGATGAGAAAACTGGCACTGAGAAAAATATGAATCTGAAGTCTGTAAAGTAACAGAGCAGGATTTAACTCCAAATCTATTTGGCTTCAAGCCCAGTTTATTTCTACTATACCACCCTACTTCCCAAGCTAAGTGCCAAAAGTAATTACCAGTTCATATAATCATCCAACGTACTGCTGCCTGGTGTTGTACAAAGAGATTTTGGATCAATTCGTTTAGGTACTGATATTGGTGGTGACTGTTTTGAAGATGAAAAGGCAGGTTGCTCAAAAATGGTATGCTTCTGATAAAACAAAATAAAAAACACTACGCTTTAAATTTTTTAATTACTTTCTTGGTACAACAGTTTTATAAACAGTCCAACTTTTAAAAGCAAATAAGAAATAAAATAGGAAATATAAAAACATGCTAAAACAAGTCCCCATATATATTGTAGGAATTCTGGTGGCATAGTGCCTAAGGCATTTGACTCCTAACCAGAAGGCTGGCAGTTCAAGCCCACCAGCCACTCCTTGGAAGGAAGGTTGGGCAATCTACTTCTGTAGTGATACCTCCTTGGAAACCCAAAAGGGGTCACTATGAGTTGAATTAACTCAACGGCAGTGAATTTAGTTTTTTGGGTTATATATATTATATATTCCAGGCTTCTAATAACTTTTTAGTATAGCTCTTTCTTTCACTCTAAAGTCTGTAGCCTATTGTATTCTGTACAAACTGATTACATGTACAGAGAAAAGGTACATGATATTGTGTAACAAAACAGGATGACACTCTTCCCAATCAGGGCTATTGTAACAAGGTATTGAACTTTTATAACTTAAATAAACAAATCATGTACCTATTAGTATTAACTACCCATTTCTCTATTCTTTTAGCCCCCAACAACCACTAATCTGCTTTCTGTATCTATGGATTTGCTTATCATGGACATTTTAAATAAACAGGATACTATACGACCTTTTGTAACTGGCTTCTTTCACTTAGCATAATTCCATCCACATTAGTACTTCATTTCTTTTCATTGTTGAATAATATTGCACTTTATATATATATTAAGAAGCTCTGATGGAGCAGTGCCTAAGGCACTTGACTGCTATTCAGAAGTCTGGTGGTTCAAACCCACCAGCCACTCTGCAGAAGGAAGACTGGGCAATCTACTTCTGTAAAGATTTAACTAACACCTTGGAAACCCAATGCGGGTCACTATAAGTCAGAATCAACTTGATGGCAGTAGGTCTGGGATACGCATGTATTATATTTTGTTTAACCATTCATTAAATTTAGGGATATTTGTTTGGTTTATTTCCATGTTTTGGCAATTATGAATAGTGCTGCTGTGAACTTATGTATAAATATTTTTGTGTGGACATTTTAAATTCTCTTAGGTATACACCTACATATGGTATTGCAAAGTCATATGGTAACTATACGTTTAACCTTTTGAGGAACTGCCAGTTTTGTAAAATGACTGCACCTTTTTGCATTCCCATCTGCAGTGTATGAGGGTTCCAGTTTATTCACATTCTCACTAACACTTACTATTTTCTTTTTAATTATAGCCTTCCGAATGGATATAATGTGGTATCTCATCTTGATTTTGATTATAATTTCCCTAGTAAATAGCACATAAATAAATACTTTTGAGTTTCCTTACAAGTGAAAAAAAA